ATGATACCATCTGGAATATATCAATGGCGGGTGGGACATGTTTAGGTCTTGTTGCTAGAACTGTTGGGGATCCCATTGTACCCCTTGTAATGCCTTTTGTTGAGTCAAACATATCAAAACCAAACTGGCATAACCGTGAGGCAGCCACTTATGCATTTGGATCAATCCTTGAAGGTCCTAGTGTTGAGAAGCTTTCACCAATGGTACATTCAGGATTGGGCTTCCTACTTAATGCAATGAGGGATGAACACAACCAAGTGAGGGACACGACTGCTTGGTCTTTGAGTCGTATTTTTGAGTTTCTGCACAGTCCAGCCAGTGGCTTCTCTGTAATTTCTGCTGAGAACCTCCCAAGGGTTGTGGCTGTATTATTGGAAAGCATTAATGATGCTCCAAATGTATCTGAAAAGGTCTGTGGAGCTATTTATAATCTTGTGCAGGGTTATGAGGATGCTGGACCAGCCTCCTCTATGATTTCACCGTATCTTACTGAGATAATTACTCGTCTTCTTGCAACTGCTGATCGAATGGATGGCAGTGACTCTAAGCTCAGGTCTGCTGCATATGAAACTTTAAATGAGGTTGTGAGATGTTCAAATATTACAGAAACATCTCAGATCATTGGACAACTTCTCCCTGTCATAATGAATAAGTTAGCACAGACACTGGAGCTTCAGATTGTGTCATCAGATGATCGAGAGAAACAAGGAGACCTGCAGGCATCTCTTTGTGGTGTTCTTCAAGTTATTATACAGAAACTTAGCAGCACTGATGAAACCAAACCCATAATTCTCCAGGCTGCCGATCAAATCATGATCTCTTTCCTAAGGGTTTTTGCTTGTCATAGCTCTACAGTGCATGAGGAAGCAATGCTTGCTATTGGGGCGCTGGCTTATGCAACTGGACCTGTGTTTGAGAAATATATGTCTGAGTTGTACAGATTCCTGGAAATGGGATTGCAAAATTTTGAAGAGTACCAGGTCTGTGCCATAACAGTTGGGGTGGTTGGTGATATTTGTCGTGCTTTGGATGACAAGATCTTGCCATACTGTGATCAGATTATGAATCTCCTTATAAAGAATCTTCAGAGTGATGAATTACATCGTTCTGTCAAGCCTCCTATTTTCTCCTGCTTTGGGGACATTGCTCTTGCAATCGGGGAGCACTTTGAGAGGTACATTCCTAGTGCATTACAAATTATGCAGGCTGCTGCTGAGTTGTGTGCCCGAATGGACACCAGTGATGAAGAGTTCATGGATTACGGAAACCAGCTCCGGCGAAGTATCTTTGAGGCTTATTCTGGTATTCTTCAGGGATTCAAGAATGCAAGGCCTGAGGTTATGCTGTCATATGCACAACATTTGTTGCAGTTTGTAGAACTGGTCTTTAGAGACAGACAAAGGTATGATCAGGGGATCATTATTTATGATGTTTTTAACAATGTCTGGCAATATACTTGTCTAATTGTCTTCTTCCCATGGTTGGCAGGGATGAGAGTGTGACAAAAGCAGCAGTAGCTGTGATGGGTGATCTTGCAGATGCTCTTGGTCCTAACACAAAGTTATTATTCAAGGACTGCACGTTCTGTGCTGAATTTCTTTTCGAATGTCTTCAATCAGATGATGAACAGCTTAAGCAGACAGCAGCTTGGACTCAGGGTATGATTGGACGTGTTATGGTATCATGAGATGAAGTCTTGTTTATTAAGTAAAGAAATCATCCAGAGTCTTGTATTTTTTTTTTCCCTTTGTCTGCTAGTTTTTGGTAAGGTTGTCGAAGAACTTAAAAAAGATGGTGGGGTGGTGTTGGGGGTGGGGAGAAGGTTTATCTATCCATATATTGTTTCTAAAGCGGAGGGGAGTTACCATTCATATTTTCCTTAATCCGCTTTTGTTGGGTTAAACCTTGATTGTCGCCATTGTTATCTGGCGTGGGTCAATTGGGGAAGGTCAGTCAGTCTGTAGAAGTCAGTTTTAGTTAAATGCATCCTCCACTGATTCGGTGGCTTCTTGAGTCAAGTTTATGCTCCTTTCTCTTGGCTAGTTTGTGCATTCATTCTTTACATGCTGAGGACTAGAGTTGAATGTGTTTAAGCTGGGGCGCTATTCTTTATTGTTTGGTGGATTTGAGATTCTCAGCGTGGTCTCTGAAATTGAAATTAAAATTAAAAAATAAATCACAAGAGTCAAGTCCCTCGACTAGAAATGTATACTTACGCCATATGTGTATCAAATTTTTGTTGAATTTCAACAGTTTGAAGAAGAGGATTCCAGGAACTTTCAACTAGATTGTTGTTGCCTTTATTCTACTGACGGAAAAATTAAACTGTTAAAATGTTTTTTCTGACTTTTTAAAGGGGAAAATAACAAAAGCATTTTGATAATTTGTAAAAGGAAAAAAAAAAAAGGAATAATATAACAACGGTACCACCATATTATATATAGATGAATTCACTTCTGAAAATGTTGAATTCATCTCATCACCACGTTTAAATATTCAAGACTGCTCCAAGTATCACGAATCGTAATTGGTTCATCCCAATTGAGATACCTCATAATTTGTCTAATTTTGGGCCTACATTCTAGCTTTTCATGAGAGCAAAGCAGACCCATCGCTGTTACCATCTCCATCTTCTCATCGTCCTCCTGCTTATAAACAACACCAGAACACCAAACAGAATGAGAAGAGCAAATGATAATGGCACAATGAGAGCAACCGTCTGCTTTTTCTTGAAAGAAGATGAGTCCTCCTCTTTTGGTGGTACCGGAAGCTGAGAAAGGTTGAGTTGATGTTCGACTCCGTTCACGGAGAAACTCCATCCTAAGATGTAATGAGAACTGGCTTTTCTATTCCCTGTAGATGTAGAGAAACCCACATACATGGTTTCTTTAAGGAACTTGTGAGGTCAATGGACTGAGACGTGAGCGGCTTGGTTGGAGGCTTTAGCTGATTCATGGGAGCTGTGGTTACATTTATTTGTTTTTTGACACCATTATAATCTACCTAAATTTGAGTACATTCGTCATTTTTCAACTCTACTTCTTTTATATTCGTGTCTTCCGCGAAATAAAAAAACCAGTTTTGATGCCAATGGAAACCATGCTATTGATGTTGATCCCAACAAGGTTAACTTACCTCTCTAAATTTTCATTCGACCCATTTACAATATTAAAATTTTTATAAAATATGATTAAATGAATCTTTGACATTTTATAAGTTCAAGATGACTGTCATTAGCGTTGGAGAATTTTGTGGAGGGAGGTAAAGTGAAGGCGAGGCCAAAACCACCTGGGCATGATCTCGGGGTGACAATGACAAATACGAAAAGTGTATTGAAGGATAAAATATAATTTTTAGAAGAAAAAGAAAAAGAAGAGTGTCGTAGCAAAAACTTGCAGTGGGTTGGGATAGAAGGCAATTTACCTATGATATGGTTTGATCTACTTGTGAGCCTGAGTTGGTTTATTATGTTGGTCTGAAGTTGAAATCATTATAAGTAAATTTTATATTGTTTTGAGAATGATGAGCAGTCGATGAACCCTAAAAATCATGAAAGAGATAAAGAAAAATTCAACTAGTGTAATTAAGTGAGAGATTTGGTTTTAAAGAAAAAAATTCATTTAATGTGAGATGGGTGGTGGAGACTTGAACAACCAAAGTTGGTGAAAAGTCAACAGAAAATGAATTTAATAAATGAAGAAATATTCAGTTATTTCTAGGCTAATTAGACCAATGAACATGAAAAGACATTGATTAACTTTTCTTTTTCAGCAAGGAAAAAAGGTCTTATCAACTGAGTGGGAAAGGTTAAGTTAATCCTAATTTTAACGTTGAAACTGAGTTATGCGGTTCAATCATACCATGGATCTAAATGGAATTGTAATTTTCATCATTAACCGTCAATAGTTATTAACAATTATATGTATACACACACACACAAACACAGATAAGCAATAATGATGCAAGATGCTTTTCTTAATATATGGTTAATAAATTGGATTTTCTTCTCATAATGTCACAATGGATTAATGTGAGACAAAAAAGATTCATAAACAATAATTTTTAAATTTAAAAATTCATATGTATGGTTTTAGGAATTTTTAATCTCAAAATGATATGCAGTAAGAAGATGTAAGATATATATTCCGCTCTTGAATTAGTTTATTCTCATATAAACATTAATTAAAAATTCAATCTTCAATGAAAATCTCTTACTAAAATTCAGTCATGACTAAAAAATATTTACAAACTATATAAATTGTGATTACATGTTTAGTCTTATATGCTTAAATAAAATAAATTACGTGTTAATGCATGTTGTATGAACATATGTAAATTGATTATTTGCATGTTAATTTAAATGATTAAATACTTGAGATAAATGTAGATGCATGATACATTGTATGATGGTAAAATAATAAAGTATGAAGTGATGTTAAGCATGAGAATTATGTATTGGTATCAGTATGCATGATTCATAAGATGTTTCGTTAGACTTTTTATTTCCGAGTGATTTCTGTTTCTCCCCTCATATAGTCTGAAAAGATGTGAGAGGACTACTTCCTATGGATGACAGCATAAATTCTGATGAAAGTGGTGACACGATATGATTGTAGAGGTCACCTTTGGTAAAGTACGACCGTAACCATAATTTACATGTAGGACCACTGTAGTTGGCACGGTCGTGATCATAGATCATATGATAGTTTAGCAAGCTGTAAATGTGTTGTTGGTTTAACAAGCTGTAAATTACTGATATATAAATTGAATTAGTCATTCTACATGGGTAATCGGGAATCCGTATTGCCCTCAATGAATGGAAGTCATAATGACTTCGTGCGAAGGATAAAATGAAATAGAGAGCATGTTATGATTTATTTGATTTTCTCTATCTTTCAGCATGATTAATTTGATTGATATGATATGACCATTAACACGATATATTTGATGTTTTTTTTAATAAAAAAAATTATTTTCTTAATTTATAAAGAATTCTTGACATGACCTCTGATAGTAAGTAATGATGATACTTTATTTCAGCATGATTTACCTTCAAAATCTTCATGGTGTTATTTAAATACTAGTTTCTTTTTGAGTATATGAAGCTCACCCCTTTCCATGCCCCTCCTCCCCAGATGAAAAAGATAGTGAGGAAATGATAGCTGATCTACCCCTTGAAACTTTTGAGGATCCCATGGATCCATGAACTTTTGTAAGTGC